CTTTGTCAATTGTAGGCGAACCCTCCTAGAGCTGAATTTCAAGGGACCATATTCAAGCTCAGAAAGAGAAATAAAATTTCGTCGTTGCTTATTTACGTCCTCCATAAAACGCGAAATTAGGCATTTTCACGTCGTAGTCGTGCAAAAACGGGAAAGAAATGAACAAAAAAGTGTGTTGCACGTGCAAAGTTGTTGTTTTGCTAATTAAACCTATTGTTTTTTTGACGTTCTAGTTGTCTTCCGCGTCGTTGGATCTTAAACTCCCTAAATTGTACAAACGACCGGTTTCAATAGACCGGCGAAATTCCTCATTTTATTAAAGCACTGAGGTTACGACAACTTCGAGTTAAACTGATTTCACGGGTTTTCAAAGAGTCCAGCGATTCCTTTTTCCTAGGTGAGCACCGACTCATTTCGCTTCAATATTCAGGAATGCTCTCGATCTTTTTACGCTTTCATTGCCTCTCGCCCGACATGTTTTACACGGCGTTTGGTCATGCGAAACCTCCATGAAACATCCACGCCTCGCGCGAGGTAACTTTATCCCGATTCTAAAAATAACTCGAGACGAATTACCTATGGAATAGGGTGTACATGGGGAATGCCCTCTCTGTCCCCTTTATAGTCTCTTGCTGTTGTCTAATCCGCCTTGAGATCTGTGGTGTTAAAAATAACTCGAGACGAATTACCTATGGAATAGGGTGTGTATGGGGGATGCCTTCTCTGTCCCCTTTATCCTCTCTTGGAAATACCCATGTTATTCAAAAAGGGCTTGCCACACGTTTCTCGTAATTTCTCAAAAAGTTGCTTAAAATTAAAGTTGCTTGAAAGAAAGTCAAAAGTTACTTTTTGTTACGATAGTTGCTCAAAAAGACCAAAACTTTTTGTTACCCTCTTCCTTTATTTGATCTTGAGCAAAAATATGCAAATTCTAAAACAAAATAAAGAATTTCTAAGCATTTTTGTACAATTTTGGAGCCTTGCTAAATAACTCTGTCCTCAATGAAAACCAAAAAACTTGATGAGTAAAGGCTATGCATCAGTATCAGAAGCCCATAATCTCATAGTCATGGGCTCCTGTCAAGATCAAAATTAATCTTGTAAAAATTCTAGTATGAACCAATAAAAACTGTTGAATGACCTTCTTCATGCACCTGAGACAGGCTTCGTCCGCCATTTTCAATTTTCTTTTAAAACCCGCTGACCTAGCAGCCCGGCTGCAAGCATCTTGCGCCCATGATCTGCCCCAGGGAGGAGGATCTGGCTCCTTTTTCTCAGGAAATTCATAAATTGTCTACTAAAACATTGTGAAATGTTTAAGAAAGGTCAATTTAAGCACTAAAGGCTGTTTCGATATCTCAGAATCGCTAGAAAACTAGAGAAATTGCTCGGAGAGCAAAAAGGTCGTCCGAAACGAAAAAAGTTGCTAAAAAGTTGCTGAGCAACTTGTGCAAAGCCCTACTCGCAATGCAGTCTATCCAGAGACTTGCACCCTCGCCTCGTTCGGTCCTTCTCTTCCTGGCTACGGGCCTGAAGAGGCACGCCTGGGAGAAGGGCTTTAGTAAAACTACGAATAAGCAATCACAAACTAATGATAGAAATAGGTAAATCAATCAAACTACGAAGGATAATAGGCATTGCTCTTTTTGTGGCTCCAGTCTAATGGACGACGAAGCTCACTTTCTTTTTCGTTGTCCTATATACTCTATAATTAGGAATAATTTTTATAATAAGGTCAAGACTCTGATTCCAAATATTACCCAGTTACCCAATCCGTCGTATAATTACCTTATCAATATACAATTCTTGAAATATATTTCAGCTTGCTTTTATCTTCGTGACAAATTATTTCCAAAGTAACTTAATTACCTTATGATGTAACTTTGGTTCTTAAGGCGGCTCGACTGGATTTTTTGGGGGCGATACCTCCCAAGTTTGAGCATTAACTACGTCGCCATGAGTAAAGATATGGAAAAAAGGTTTCCACAACTGTATTATATAAAGATGAAAATTTCTTATGATCTGGGTTTTATTGCAATCGGAGTCGCCATGGCAACGTAACGACGCAATTACGTTTTTTATTTATCTTCGTGTTTCTCCGTACCAGGAGTTTTTTTAAGAAATCGCTTAAGGGAGTTTGTGCAATTATGGCGAAGTTTGAACAAATTCTATGAGAGCGTTTTCGAAATATTTCGAAACGAAGTTTTGAGCATCATAAAACAGTGAAATAGCATGCTATCCACACAATTAGCTAATTTTTAAAGAAAATGATAAGCTTTGGAAACGCGGCTTCATCTCATAGCGGTTTGATTCCATTGAAAACTGTGTACAAAAAAAGAGGGGAATTGCTCTGGGCGATCGCGAGTAAGGAGAATTTTATTAACTTGCATTCAGCTGCTTTTGTAACAGTTTTTGCACGTAATTTGGTCCACGCCCACAAATTTCGCATTTTTCAAAAAACCGCTCGATAAATTTTTTTATAAATTTGACGATCCCGAGATCAATTGTCAATAAATATACCCTGCAAGTTTCAAGAACATTGAGAACAGGGAAGGCTTTTAAATAGGGGCTTAAATATGACCAATTTTTCCCCCAGATTTTGTGTTTACAAGTGAGCGCCCTTATTATTCACTGGCATTGTTTTCATGAATCATATGCACGTGCACATTTAGCAAAAAAAATAAATTTGCCCTGGGGACGAGGTTGTTCGCAGAGGCCTCTTTGTGTTGTAGAGAGGCTAGGGAGAAAGAAGGGAGACTGGGGAGAAAGCAAAAGAAAGCGCGCGGGGCACGATCCGTGTCGGCCCGCGAGCTTTCAATTTTTCGATTATTGCTATTTTTACTGTGATACCCAGCGGGAGCCTCTACGGAGGAGAGAGGGTATATCCTGCACGATTGATTTGATTTCCTCGAAGAATTTTGTATACAAACGCTAACAATGACTTTAACGTGAATTTGCTCTATTGCAATTGCCAATAAATAGCTTTAATACAAGACCGCGTTCATTTTGTCCTTTGTCATAAACAGAGTAGTAAAATTGAGCGTGTTATCCTAAACAGGGTATGTATTTTAGGATTTTTTTGTCCTAAACAGGGTCAGGGTTTCAAACCCTTAGCGTCTCACCTATACCCAAATATTGGTCGAGTACCCTTCCCCCCCTCCCCCGCCCCCCGGGCACCGAAGAGCAATAGCGACCTACATAGATTTCAAGATTGGTGCTTTGAAAACCAACTTCCTCTTAATCCTGATAAAACCAACTCCTCCTGTTCGGGAGTGGTCAAATGTCGGCAAAAGTTGATGTGTTCCACGTGCCCCTCGTGAGTAAGCGGCTTATACTCCATCTCATCTTTGGACAGCAACTCACCGCATTTAATGAGCTTATAGCATACACAGCGTCATCTTGTGTAGCACGCTTAAGACAAATCAAAAGAGTGAAGCATTGTTGCGATAAACAAACTTTAATTACCTCTGACTACAGAACGCTTGTTACTAAATTAGGTCAAGGTTTCTTCGTGACTTGTCCATACTTAGATGCAACCGACAATGAAGATTCCCCACGACTCTGTTAAAATGTCGTTCAAGGACACAAAACCTTGCAACGTTTGCCCTTTTGCGCTATTAAAAAAAGGAAATGGCTTATCATCAAATGTGCCGATAGCGTATGTATGTCTGTCTTGGAGAGGTGAACCAATGAGATGGAAGGTACTATAAACGTTGCGAGATACAAAGAAACCAAATGGGATTCTGAAAAAAACTCGGGTACATCTGTATCCTCCCCCCCCCCCATACCTGCTCGGCCTGACCTTTTTATTTATTTATAAATAGTTGTTTATTTGACAAGTGCAATGTTTACTTAAAAGGTTTCCTAATTTTCTTCCCTACTCACCTTGTAACGACCAATAAACTCAAAGTTCTGATACGTGGGCTTATCGGCTTTTTAGGCTATGGTTAGTATAGTATTCCGGGATCAAGTGCTATTTTATACAAACTGGCCACTTCTTCCCTAAAGAGTAAAAGCAGCCTATTATTCCATTTCTTTGTCAATTTGTGATTCGTCGTTTAGCACTACAATGTTTTGTTGCACGCACTTGCTTTGTTTAAGCTATTACTGCTTCATTTGTTATTTTCTTCGTTTTTTCAATGGCCATGTGTTACAGCAACTATAAAATATGGCCACAAAATAACCCTTTCGCTATGCCAAAACAAAGGGACAAAGCGCTCTCCAATCTTGTTGGAAAGGAAAATGTCCATTCTTGGCCATATGCCTCTTTTCATTGTTTGTTAAGTTTGGATTGTAACTCGCCACTGGATTCCTGCCACAAATCAGTTTGCTCTCAGCTTTTCCCTTGAAGTAAACTGATATCCAGTACTAATCTTTACAGCAATGATCAAATAGATTAAAAGTTCTGAGAGTGGAAGGGTAACGATGGGTAAACGACTGGTGTTGGGTACCTTTCCCAAGAAGATTTTACATCCTCCAAGAGAACTAGTAAAACACCAATCGACCCTTAACTTCCTGCATTTAGAAACGTGAACGAGAAACGCTCTTGGAAAATTGGAACTGGTTTTTACCTTTCTCAGCCCCACCACGGGGAAATGGGCCGGATTTAATTTCACAGGCACTTCAACTAGCACAGTTTTAAAATACTTTAAAAATTGAAAGGGTTTGAAAACGATAAGTACATACTCTCTTTAACACCAGTATTACTTTTAGACATATCCCTTGGGCAATTTGCTGCTGTAACTCGACTCGGATAGTCTCATCAGTTGTCAGAACTTTAGCAGGCGACTTCTCATGGTAACAGAGGGTATAATTTTTAGCCCTTTTTTGACCAAGAAAATGTTGCCCAGTTAAAAAACGAGGGAGACCAGAAATACAAAAGATACCGTTGTCAACGATGAAAAATAGGCAAAGATAACATACTAACTGGTGTTGAAACTATGTATTGTGGACAACAAACATAAATAGCAAAGAACGGAACACATGCGTCGCTCTCTAGGTGGCAGCTACCCGCGGTAACTACAATAGGATATGAATTAGCAACGTCTTGTAAATCGATCCTAGCCATCATAAGCACATTTTTCAAAGATTTATCGTCGAGGAAATAGTCCCTTTATTGATTTTAATCGTTTTAGTCTTCTCATAGATCTTACAAATCTTCACTTCGTAACCGATTGAAAATGGGATCCTTTGAAAATTTATGTAGTTAATGAATTAACTGAAGGAAATCTTTTCTGACACCTGCGCTATATATTCTTGTGGCCCGTTTCAACCGATCAAAACTTCATCGAGGCGTAACAATTTCTTTACGCTTTAGAAGATCTATTACTCTCTTTTCTACAAGAAAAAAAAAGCAGAACAGAACAGAACGAGCAAAAAAGATTAGAATTTAAAGGTGTGACAATTAACGAAAATGTATGTTTCAGGCTCTGAGTGCTTTTATAATTGCGACTGTTACACTTGCGAGGAATCCGCCGTTATTTCTTGAATTTTCTGCAACAGACTTTGCTAAGTACGAAAACGAAAACTGAGTGATCCATGCAATTATTGACAGTATTAAACACATTTTCAGTCAGTGGGAGGGCATCCAGTAACCTTTCCAGTCGCAGCCGAGATCCAACTGCATCCAGTGAAGAACTGGAAAGTGCTGTGCAGTTGTCAATGTGACCGAATGTCGGATCTCGGCTGCGACTGGAAAGGTTACTGGATGCCCTCTGTCAGTAATTGGATCACTCGGTTTTCGTTTTCGTACTCAGCAAAGTCTGTTACAGAAAATTCAAGAAAGAACATAACGGCGGATTTCTCGCAAGTGTAACAGTCTCAATCATAAAAGCACTCAGAGCCTGAAACATACATTTTCGTTAATTGTTACACCTTTAAATTCTAATTATTTCTCATCGTGTGCTACAACCGTGCGAGCCGTCGCGAGGATCAAGGCTCCATCTACACTGTGCACTCACTAATGAGGTCGAACACTCTATCTGGTTGTCATTCAAATCTGAAAACAATCTGACATATATAAATAACAGCCAAGATCTCAATTCTCGGATGCTAATGTTTTAGAGAGTTTGGAAGAGTTTCCCCGTTTCAAAGGATATACAAAAGGCCAAAGACTGGGAACCTTCACAGTGGGAGATATAAAGTACAAAGTGACAATTCAATCGTGCAAACATGAAAGAGAAATTAAGGCAAAACTAGTTGAGAAAACCGTAGCAGTCATGTCAGTCATGCAAAAGACCTGTTTTCTGATTATATATCTCAGGTCACTATAGAATCAAACCACTGGAACGCAGTGAATAAGGCAAAGAAAAATGTAGTACATCGACCTGAAAAACAAAACTAGTCGAAACAACGGAGACTTGACTGCGCAAGGTAATCCTTGATTTTCCTAGACCATTTCACAAATTTATATATTATCACATCTTCTCCGCCATTTTTTATTCACGTGTGTTATATCATTACAAGTACGCATAGGAAATTACAGCTCACAACTACTACTGACTTGCAAAATATTTGAAGATTGTACACAATTTGTCGTTGAGGATACAACTTTTCAGGCTTTTACCTTACTTGAATACGCCCAAAAACTTTGCCGTCAATTTCTCCCTTTACAGTGAAAATCCAGTACTGAGCGTCATTGTAATGACCAATAAACTGAAAATATTGAAGTGTTGTTGGAGGCTGGTTGTTGTAGGCTATGGTTAAAATTCCCGGATGGCCTCTTTCATAACCTCTCATATACGCATCAGCTGCTGGTTTTTCTGCCGCAGGAGGTTCACTGTACACACGAGCAATCAAGTGATACCCAGGGTGGCGTCCCATCATTTCGTCTACTGATGCACCCTTCTCTTGGAGATTTCCCACTTTGTTTCTACACCTGTCCAAATTGGAGTGTATAACGAGGACATCCTGACGGGTGGATCCCTTTGCCACGAACATTTCACATCCTCCAAGAGGTCTAGTGAAAAACCACTGAGCCGTTGCTGGATTTAGAATCATGTACGAGTTTGTGTCCACGTCTTGAACGAGAAAGGCTGCTTGAAAGACGGGTAGAACTGCACATTGTTCTCCGCCACGGGCGGGTGGGTCAGATTTTGCTTTCACTTTTACCAGAGACTGTGAATCCCCTTCAACATAACAGGACTCTTCGAAATCGTAATGTACTTCATTTGGCCTATCAACAGTCCTCATGTTCGTCATAGAACTAGAACAGCTTTGTAAAACTGATAACTTGCCCTGGATGGACTTTCCATTTCCAACAAGGTTGGCAAGCGCTTTGTTATTCTGTTTTTGGCACGGTAAAAGGGATCTTTTATGGCCACTGTTTTGCGCATCTTGGTAGCACAAGGCGAGTGAAAAAGCGAGGAAGACAAGAAACACAGCTGTTTTCATCATTAATCAGGAGAACAAGAGCGGGCAAGATAACTTGCTAGAAGTTGCTGATTCTTTTGAAAGCGAAAACACAAACTAATACACTGGTAATTGGTCTCTGGGGAGCAGGTTCCAGAATAAGATACGATAACTCGTCTCAGGGAAGAATGCATTATTGATCATGCACACAATTACTGCAAGACAGTAGTCCAATAGTAAAATAAAACATAATTGCCCACCCTGTTCGAGGACAAATGTATTATTAATCACGTTTACAAAAGAGATAACTATTTTTCAGAGCTATTTTTTAGGAGAAAAACCTTCGTTCAGCTAAAAAGTTATGTGTAGCCTAAACACCTATTTTGGTTTTTCCACAACAAGCAGCTTTATTTTCACGACGATATAAATTCATACAGCATTGCAAAAACATTTTGACTTAACAAAAAAAGAAAATGAAATGATATTTACAAAATTACATTAACAAAAAGATTATCCGTTTGAAAATACTAAAGTGATAAACAATTTGCTACTTAAATCAAAGAACGTTCACAAATCTGACTAACGACAGGCCATTTGCACGATGGCGTCATTTTACTACTACTACCAGAATCCTTCGGGGTATTGCTTTCTTGTACAAATTAGGGTTTTTGTTATTTAAACCTCACCGGGATTACCAAATTTAAATATGAAAGAGGAAACGAAGTGAATTCTGGTCTTAGTTGTAAAAGGCGTCATCGTGCAAATGGCCTAGTCAGATAATCACAGTTAAAGAGATATCCCTCCCACTTGGGGCCAAGTCGTCTTTTGGAGTTACATCTTGAGGGCCGTTTGAACAGATCACCACTTCATTATAAACTTGAATGTGTAAGAATTTTTTCACACTTTGGAAGATTTCTTCTTTTTCTTCACCAAGAAAATAAAAGTTCGGAACTAAAAGGTAAATATCGATTACAGGCTGTCGACCCTTGGGCTATATTGTAAGCGCGGTTTGTAAGTGAAATGTGAGTATTTTCATTGTTATGACCTTTCAACAATAACCCCCATATTTATTTTCTCATAACACAGACTACTATCCACTGGCTTAACTTTGACCACTGCCGTGCTACAGAATATAACCTTTAAAGACACGTTTTTAGCATTCAGTCGATTTACCCAGTCTATTAAATATTAAGCTGTTCAAAAGATTACTCTCCCTCTCTTGTTAAGTCGTCCATAAGCTGTACAAAGTTTCAAACCAATTGTTTTTAGTCTTACACTTTTTTTCTTTAGTAGAAGTAAAAAGCTCTTTACGCTTATTGATATCTAACCAATTTGAGTTTGCTTGGACCATGACGCTTTTTAGAACCCAGGAGAACTCACACTGTTCGGGCTCAATTAATTTTGGGGGGCAAGAAGGTCACCGTCCCTTAGTTCCGAATGTGCCTGTATGGGTACGCTATTCCTCCTCGCCTCCCTCCCTTTGTGTGACTGCCTCAAATTATTAAACTCTAAAACGCCTACGGGAGACAGCGCTAAAGTACCCCGTGTAAGGCAATCAAAGATGCTCCTTGGATTCTGGATTCCACGTTGTTGATTCCAGATTCCAGGTTCTGGATTCCGGTCTATCTCTGTGGGACTTGGATTCCGGATTCTAATCGTCAGTGGGATTGCAGATTCCTCGTGTCGTATTCCGGGTTCCAAGAGTCTTCCAAAGCCCAGGATTCCGGATTCCACAAGCAAACTGAATTTCACGGAATCCGGACTCCCTTACACGAGGTGAAAAGTTTTTCTGCAAAACAACAGCTTGCCCTGGTCAAGTTCTCTAGTTAATTTTACCGATGTCCGTACTATTAACCTGCCAATATGCCGACGCAGCAGCGCGACTCTTTCGTTTGGACCTGATTTAATATAAAGCTGACCTCTTTACAGATCTACTTCACTATAAGGCCCGGTTCAGACGCCGAACTTTTCAAGAGCCTAACCTAATTCGAATTAAGGCCGGCCCAAAATATTTAGATCCGCCTGAATTGACCATGTTGTGGTAACAGCCAATTTTTAAAAGACTAAAAACCCCATTTCTTGGTCAAAATGGAGCTCTTACTTTACCATTTATATGCCACATGCTTCTCTTGATTACCACATTACTTGAAATTTGAATTATAAAGGCTGGAAAAAATCTGCTGTGCAAGTATATGACTCTTCATCCCAACGACAAGAATCAAAGATCGGAAAAAGGTCATTTTTTGTTTTGCAAGTTTGAAGAATCAATTTCATCAGTTATACTCGACCAAACTAGCTTAAACTGAAGTATGAGGAAGAACAATCATTAGGCAATATACCAACGAAAAACTGAAGGTAAGGAAAAAAAGTACTCTTTCATTTTTTAATAAATTTTTAAAGTTATCAATGTGAGAAAATGCCAACGTTGCAAAAGTTCCCTGTTTGCTAGATGTTCCAACATTGTTAATGGGATATTTTTTTATAGACAATAAACAACATTGTAGTCAAATTAAAGGCCATCAAGACAGCAGCAAGTGACGTAAAACACTCTTCCACTCTTTTTAAGGGAAGGGAGTTACAGCTACGGAAAGTGTTTGAAACACAAACACAAGATTATCCTTACTAAGGAGGTATTTAATAGGTGTAAATTCATCAGTCGTATCTTAAACAACATGAAGAAATTGGCTTTTACCCTATGGATCACAACACAGTTTTATTTTTTCAAAGAATATGATTAACAATCGCTCACAGCAATTAATCCCTGAATGACACCTTGAAGCACTATGTCAGTGCGGAACAACTAAACATTCCCTTATCTGACACAGTGGTTTGAGTTGTCGACCATTAATCAACAGAAAGCCGTTCACTCCGATTAAGTTGCAAGGAAAAACACAAAAAAACCTGCCATCTCATCTGGCCTACTGTACCACACTACACCCAGCTTACGATGAAATATTCGGTACTTTTTATACTTTGGTCATCTATATTAATAATGATCTTAAAAATGACTACCTTTCACATGCTTCCAGTACAATGCCTCTTTCTGGCGTAGTAAAGCGCATATTTGCAGCGTTGAAGGCAAAACATAAAAAATCCGCTGGTTTTAGAAGGAATGTTAGCACCATACTCATATTTCCTCTGGACCCTCATTTTAGGGACTAGATCATGTTCAACCTCGCTAACACCTCACACGGGGAAAAAGAAAACTGTGATAGTACAGTGGTCTAAGGTTGCTTTAGAAAAGACTTTCTTGGCTTACTGTTTAGAGTCCAAGAGTGCGCGTTTCATAGTTCGCACGGTTTTTTTTTAATCTCAAACTATAGGTTGTAGCGCCGTTTCATACTCAGTCCGCAGTGCTGTCTCGCGCTTTTTATTACACACTCTTCAGTCTGAAGTCCGCAGTACGTTTTTTATGATACTGGCCGTTTCGCCGATTAAGATGCAAAATGCTTGGGTAATAACACACACACACAAACTAGATAATGAACCTCCAGTCTCACCATCTGTTATCTACACTATCTCTGCAACGAGAATCATGGGAAGATTACGCAAGGTTCTATTTTCCAAGGGCAGTGAACTGGCAGAGATGGCAGCGAAAGTCGTCCCTTCGTCATTCAGGGTAAGCTTCTTCGCCTGTCAAAACCATTAAACTCAAAAAGGCAGACATACGAACCACATCCGCCATGATGAGCAGAGAAAATTAGATCAACGAGGGTTTAGCTTTGCTAAATGAGAGAATAATTATCAATCCCTCACTCAATCAATCCATGGTTGAAAATAAGACCAGAAAAGTTAAGCAGCTACTTAAGTCGCTACTGCAGAAAGGCCACATTGACGATATGACAGCCAAATGGCTATCCCTTACGCCTAATCCTCCGCGTATCCCGATTTTCTACACACTGACAAAGATTCACAAACCGACGCCTGTCGAAAGACCTATAATAGCAGGGTGCGATGGCCCCACGGAGCGGATGTCTACATTTCTAGATCGACTCATCAGTCAATATCGCAGAAACAAGACTGGTATGTAAAAGATAAGACAGACTTCTTGAATTTTATTAAGAGTGCAAAATTGCCTAAAAATACATTCCTAGTCTCTATGGGCATTACAAGCCTCTACACCAACTTACCACACGAAGGGGGCGTAAACACCGTATGTTACGCATACGAGGATTTTTTTTTTATGCAGACTTAGCCCCTATACTACGGTGGCCGGTAAAGGACATGACATTTTTTTTTGCTAAGTTATCGCACGATAAGTTAAAATTATTGCGCGATAAAATGAACAGTTATCGCGCGATAATTTTCTTATTTATCGCGCGATAACTGTTCATTTTATCGCGCGATAAGTTGCAATTTATCGCGCGATCATTTTAACTTATCGCGCCATAACTTAAGAAAAAAAAATTGTAATATCCCTTATGGACCACCTCTCTGAGGTAAAACTGGCCGACAGGAAAACAGCCCTTCAACCGAGAAACAAATCCGCAAGTAAAAATCTATTACCTCATGTTATACAATACCACCCGGTTTTACCTAGCCTGAAGAAAATACTAATGGGGAAATGGCACCTTATACAAAACCAGAGCAACGGCTAAAATCCCTTAAGGACCTATTAGCTAGAGCGAAGCTCCGAAGGTCATATAAATTCCAATACAACTAAAAAGTGAAGGAGTGATGTTACGCCGCAAAAAGTAACAATTGAAGCAAAATGAAACATTATCACGAAATGCAACAACTTTTGACGCAGAATGTTACAGCCTTGAAATATCTGAGGGACTGGGAATTACGACTCGCAATTAAGTGTAAATTGTCTGGTGGTTACAAAAACAGTTTATTTATATCTGATATATTTTTTAGAATAAAAACCGTTTACAAAGCAGTTGATAGATGTTTCACAAACTGACAACTCCGTAAGGGAATAATCGCTGAATTACGTGTTATGCGGCCAGAGACACTGCCTCTGGTAACTAGCTTGGATGTGAGATTATCTGGGACACAACCCGTCGTCCGGCATTTAAACGCAAAAACAGCGTATCGTAGAAATAATTGCCGTCTTAGGCCCGGTTCGGACGCCGAACTTTTCATGAGCCGAATCTAATACATTGAATTAAGTACATGAAAAGTTCGGCGTCTAAATCAATTAGGAA